TGGGAGTGATAGTGTAACCGTTTCCAGCAGAACGGTTGTCAAGGGATTGACTTCACTTGTCTCTTTGACGAGTTCGTAGATTGGTGCGGAGAATGGCAAAGCTCACTGGTGATGCCGGTGGAACGTTTGAGAATGTATCAAATCCACTGTCAGATGCTGGGAATCATGACAACTACAATGGCAGACTACTTCGGACTAGGTGCGTTCTACATAGTCTCCCTGAACACAAGACCAAGTTGCGACAATTAGGTCAACCCATTTCTATAAAAGTCGTGTGAAATTCACTAGAAACGTAATGTCTACTCATATCATTTTAGGAAAATTCATTTACCAGTCCTTCATCACCTTGAATAAATTTCATGAATGTGGAATGTTTTACTCTGTCAAATAAAAATGTGTCAGACTCGACTCCGCGGAATTCTAAACGGAGTCATTCGCATCGTTTCGAAGCGCGTCCACGTCTACCAACTTCTTGGTTTACTGGCCTAGCAACGAGGTGTATTCGGTTGAGTGCTTTAACTGGAAAGTTGATTGGCGGACTCATATTTCGGTACATAAGCCGGCTTCACTTTTATGAGGCAATACACTCACTGGCTGGCTCATGCGTCGAGTTGGAGCGCAACAGGCCCGAGTGCAGACTGGAGCCGGACATCAAAAGGCTATGCATACCGACGGTGCCGTTGGCGACCGGACTCGGTCCGTTCACACGCGCCCCAACCGCCATCCCTCCGAACTCCCCATGACCCGAGGTCAGAGCGGCTTTGTGTCCGTTGGCCACGGCAACGGCGGCCAGGCCGCCGTGAGTGGCCACGTCGACACCGGCTCTTCGTCTCGTCAGACGAAGACAGTGCGCCCAGCCGACCACGGTCTTGCGGTTGCACCAGACCCACAGGCCGGAAGTGATGCCGACGGCCAACTGCATGAAGACCTGCAACATGGCGATCTCGACTGCGGGCAGCATCAGTCCGCGAGTGCATCGCGTCTCCTCGGCCCAGTTGGTCCCGCTGGCCGAGAGACAATCCCTTCGCTGACTCAACCGCGACAGACTCGTCTGCCACGCCGGCAGTCGGGCATAGGCGTACAGGTTGGCGGCGATCACACAAATCGTCGGCACCGTGTACAGGATGGAGAAGACGCCGATCTTCGCCATCAGCTTCTCCAGTCGCCGGATGTTGCCGGAGCTGGCAGCGCCGCGCAGACTGTTGGACAGACTCAGCGGCGAAATCTCGTGGCTGGGCATTTGGTGGAACCGCGAAAGGTGTCCACAGAACGCGTCTGCCGGCGCCATGGCCGGTTGGAACTGATGCAGTTGGTGCTGCTGTTGGTGCGAATGTTGTGGAGAGTGGTAGCCGGAGAGCGGATGTTGGAAGGCGGAATGAGTGTGTTTCTGCAGCAGATTGGCCGTGGCCGTGGCCGTGGCGGCGGCGGCGGCGGCCGCGGCCACGTCCTGTTTGAGGTCGGCTCGCACCGAGACGAGCGAGCAGAATCCAGACGCGAGGAAGGTGCAACCGACCAGCAGGTAGAGCAGCTGTGGCAGCACGACGAAGATGAGCAGACCCACTCGGTCCTGGTAGCCGACGTAGCAGAGGCCGGTCAGCTCGTCGGCGTCGATTCGGTGCACAATCAGCAGCACGATCGCCTTGACTGCGGGCACGGCCCAGGCGAGCAGATGGAACAGGCTGCTCACCGACTCCACGCCTTCGTAGCCCCATTTGCGGCCGGCCGACAGGAACCAAGTCACCGTCAGCATCACCCACCAGAGGCTGCCGGCCATGCCGAAGAAGTAGAGCATCAGGAAGACAATCGTGCACCAGGTGCCCTCGTGTCCGATGCTGACGAGAAAACTGGCAGAAGTCGCCGTCGCCGTTGCTGTCGCCGTCGCCGTGGCAACTGGTCCTCCGGGGTGGACAGAGGCGTCGGCGAGGTGGTGCAGAGACGCCGAGGCGGCGGTCTCGTCGGTCCAAGTGGCCAGAGCTAGCATGCCCAAGGGCCCGGGGCTGGCGGCGGCCAACTCGATGCGTTGGCGACAGGCGGTCAACTGGCGTCCAAGGGCGACTCGCAACAGGTAGCCGACGGAGTAGAAGAGGTAGCAGACGGAAAGGTAGACGATGGGTCGCTCGGGATAGCGAAAGCGGCCGGGCTCCGTGGCGAAGGTGAAGACCGTCAGTCCGGTCGAGCAGATGCAGGCCACGGCCCAGACGAGGAGCCAGACGTCGGCGAACCGCTTGTCCCACGGCCGGTAGAAGAGATGGGCATCGCAACGGGCCACACACGTCATGTTGCCCCCGGGCGTGTCGCTGGGCAAGCGCAGTTGAGCCACCGTGCAGACGTCGCCCAGTCCGGCCGATCTTGCCGCCGTTGCCGTTGGCAACCAGGGATTGAGGGGTCTGCCGGAGGCCGGCGCGTCGTTGTCGTCCGCCGCCGGCGGGAGTTCACTTGTCGCCGGCCTTCGTTCGTGCGCCTGTTGGCTCTGGGCTTGGCTCGAGTGCTCCAGAAGACGACTCAACTCGGGTATCAACACCTGATCGAGACCGTTGGAGTTGCGGTCCATGTCGTAGTTTTCCGGATGGATGCACATGCTCGACTTTTGCGGCAGCCCCGAACAGTTGAGGTCTTCGGGCCAGTTGAAGTTGAACTTGCGCATGATCGGCTCACACTTCGACTGAACATACCGACACAACGTCTGGCAGGGCTGCAAAGAGGCGTCCAGAGCCGGCGAGCACATGGGAAAGTAGATGGTGCACAGGAAGAACTTGAGGTAGTGCGAACAGCCGACGTTGATGAGGGCGCGGTAGTCGTTCATCCGCTTGGCCGACTCTCTCTGGCTCGTCAGTCCGATGAGGTTGGGCATTTTTGTGTGCTTGTACTGGAGGCCCTGACAAATGGGCTCCCGGATGGGCAGGCAGGCGTAGCTGCCGTCCTCCCCCGTCTCCTCGTAGTGCGTTGCCATCCGGTCCGGCTCGAGCCTCGGCACCGACGCCGCCTGCCCATCCACAGGTCTCGAACCCGCCGCCGCCGCCGCCGCCGCCGTTGTTTCCTCCTCCTCCCCCTCCTCCTTTTTGTGCGCCGCCAACTGCCGACGTCCCGAGACGCGACTCCGTTCGGCGCCTGAAAGAGTCGACGCCGAATCTGTCTCCAAGTGCGACTGAGAACCCAACGTCGAGGCCAACGGTTGCGCAGCCGGGCCTGGCGGCTCTCGGACCGACCGACTGCTCGGCGGCGCGGTCGCCAACAGGTCGACGTAGTCCGGTTGCCGGGCCGACAGATTGGCGCCGGCCTGACTCGAGGCCAGACTGGCGACGGCGATGAGCATCAGCAGCGCGAGACGGCCTCGGGCGGTCGTCGTCGTCTGCATGCTTCACGGTTGAGCTGGCTCTTGATGCTCCTCACCAGACCATGGGCCGGACTAGGCGTGAACCGACATCACGATTGGCTATTGCCGACCGGGGATCCGGTAGAAAAGCAGATGGACGGGCTGACGGATGGCCGGCCGTTTGCTAGCTTGACAAGTCAACCCAATGCTGTGGGTTCCGGGTAATATTGGCTAGTCTCCACACCGCCTGGCTGGCCTACTTCGCCAGGACCCGGTATCCAGTCAGAGGCCATCTTTCTGGCCGACCCATACCAAATGACGTGTGCAGTTGTGCGTGAATGTGCCGGTCGAGTGTGTCCTCTTTGTGTCTGCTCGTTGGCCCTCCACACGTCTGACGCAAAGCTATAAATGTGCACAGCCTGCATGTGAATGTAGTTGTATGTGTCTGTTTGTACGTGTGTGTGTGTGTGTGTGTGTGTGTTGAGTGGACCGCGGACAGAAGACAGGTCTGGCGCCGAAAATACTAGGCTGCTAGGCGACGGACGGACACTTGGAGAGTCGGTCAGGTGGGTAGACAGACATGGCAACACTGACGTATAAACAAACCACCATCAGGAGATTACATACAGACAAAATGTTGTGTGTCGGCCAGAGGCAAGTGAGTAAGATGACTGAACGGGATAATTGGACAGATGGTGCTGGGCTTCGACTGGCCGCCAAAAATAAACATAAACAAGCGACTCTTCAATTTTCGGGGCTGGTGGACATTTGCACTGGCAAACCGCAAGGGCGTTTAAGGCAATTTGGGTCAGAAAGGAGGTTTGGAAGCAAAGATTCCACGGATTACACAATTTTACGCAGTTGCCATGTATGCCGGCATGGTAAATACATAGACATATATATATATATATATATTCACTTGAATCACTTTGGGAATACGCCCAGCTAGCAATCTACAGCAACTTGGACTTGCTAGTGCGTCTATCTGCCGCTCGCTAAACTCCCAATATATTCTGACGAGGGGGTCGTTGAGAGGGGACGAGGTGACAAGTCTTTGCATTCATAAGATACCAAACGCTAATGTCCAATTGCCCAAAACTTAATCAAGATGACGTCCAACGAAAGAGTGATGATGAACAGTTGCAGTATCGGTCGGGGGGTAGGGTGCAATATCTCTATCCACCACGGCTTTTAGCCGCCTGTCTTGAGGAAATCTGACGGTTGTCACGGTCAGCACGTTTGTAGAACCAAGTTGGAGCCAATAAAATCGCGGAGTTTGCAAGCGTGTAGGTTTGATGCTTTGTGGTTATGCCATATTTGACTGGATTTTGCGTCCAGATGCTCTGGCAAAAAGGCTACCAGGTACATTGCCCTGATCGTAATCATAGGGTGTGACTACAGATTTGTGTGAAGAAGTACTTGGCGCATCCGCTTTCGACTCCGAGAATGGTCGCAACTCAAAGTCAATTCTCCCTCGGTTTCCAGCAGGGCCAAGTTCCTGATTTTTGTAACCCGGTTTCCTGAACGAAGGGTACAACAACTGGAATCTAGTGAAAGAGTGTTAAAAACCACAGTTTATTTTCATTTCTATCCCAGCAATGTGGCTAACGATGCATTGAAGAAAAGGCTAGCCTTTCCCACCAAACAATATGATATAGCAAAGAGGACTGACCTCCCTTGAAATTCACTTATCCCCTCTGACTCAAGGGTACTCGTGGCAGTGTAGCCGAGTGGTTAACGTGTCAAGCTACCGTCCTGCACTGTCGCG